GAAATACATTTTGGACTTAACATTAGAAAAGAAAAAATATTAATACGATAAGTGCATCAAATATCGTTGAGGTTTTGGAAAAACCAGTATTATATAAAATTACACATTGACGATGCACTTTATTCAAAGAAATCTAGAAGAAATATATTTGGTTTTTAAGATATTCGCTATAATGGATATCACATTGAGACGATATAAGAAAATAATATTGAATATTTTTGTATAACTTTTTCTATATATGGACATAAGCAGATAAAAGAGAAACTCTATGCACTCCTATTTGGCATACAGTTATACATTAATAAAAATGATTGAATTAAATATTATCATGAACTCCAAGTTCGTTGACCAAAAAAATTTTATATTTTGACATGATCGACATGGACATTCAAAAGCAATAATGATGCACTGAATAATAAATAATTCACATGATTATTGATATGTTGCTTGTTTGTTGGGTAAATTAGTCATTAGACATTCAATTACGAAGGTTAATGTTGAATATCCAACTCTCTTAAAAATAATTCATGAAAATATATATGGGCCAATATACTCATCTTGTGGATAATTTCGTTATTTTATATTTTTAATCGATTCTTCTATTAGATAATGACATTTTTTGCTCACTTTTCGTTAGGGTTGTAGCTTTTGCCATACTATTTGTCCAAAATATAAAGTTACACACTTTATTTTCTCGATAACTTAATTAAAACAATTCATCTTGATAATACTGATGAATTTAGATTGCAAGAATTCGATGAGTATTGTATGTTAATTGAGATTATTATTGAACATTTAGTTATACATGTCCACCCACATAATTGTTTAATGGTGTCATTTATCAAACGTCTACAATGAATTGCTAAACCATTACTTGTAAAAACAGAGATCCCAACTTGTATTTTGCATATGGCATCATTGGTTCAAATTAGTCAAGTGTTTATTATCAATATCCACTTTTGCAACTCTCTCTCTCTTTTTTTTTTTTTTTTTTTTTTTTTTTTTTTTTTTTTTTTCGCTCAAAAAAAAAAAAAAAAACTCATGGTCATGCCAGAGTTGAGCATTTATTTTGAAGGTCGAGCTCTTAGGAGTAAATTGATTCATTATTCACCAAACTTATACTATGTCCCAGTTTATTAATCAAAATTCAAACTGCTTCTCAATTACCATTCGTCTTTGAGACTTGCACTCTATTCATCATTCACCATATTTCATTCTCCTCGTTGTTGATGTGTTGTACGAAAATTCCGTGTGACTAGTTATGATCACTAAAAAAATTAAAACTCAGCAAAACCATCAAAGTAAAATGTTTCATTACTCACCCAACTTGTACCATGGTCACAATTTACTCATCAACCTTCAAACTACTTTCTAATTGTCACTAATAGATGTTGCACTCCATTAATCATCTCTAATCTTTCGTTTTCCTAGTAGTTGACGCGTTGCAAGAAAATTTGACATGGTAAGCCATGATCGTTAAAAGTTTACAATTCAATCACCATATAAGAAATTCAATTCTCAATTACCACTAAAACTTCTTTAAACCCTAATTGTTCGTCTGCATTTAAGCCATAAAAAGTCCTTCTCACCCATGTACAATTAAATTGTATACTAAGGGCTGATTGTTGAGAAGGACGTGAGAAGTTTTTACTTACGAAGTCCTATCTCCTAGTTGTATCATCTCTTCGACGTCTCTCTGATCACAATCTTCAATTTTTTCAAGTGTGTTACAAAATTTCCTTCCCCAGTTTTACAATGAATTTATAAAGATGCTTCTAAGCCCTCAAATCATCCCAACCACGCACCTCTAGTATCATGTTAGGCTCCATATTACTGGGTTACCCTGTTGACACCCCCAACAAAATTAACTAAAATCCCATTTTTCTCTTAAACTTCTTATGTAGGCATTGTTTGACAAAATATAAACATATTTTGATAAAAGTTAATGAAATATATAATTAAAAAGTTAATAAAAATTATGAATTCCATGAATTATATAATTAAAACTTAATCATTAACTTTAATCTCAAAATTTTAACAATTTTTTAACTATCCAAAACAAACACTATTCTCTACCTCATATCGTTCAAAAAACACCGGTTCAATCCAACTACAACCAACAAAACCATCCATGAGAGAGATAAATATGATGCCCCCGGGCATAGCCTAGTGGTGCAAAGGATAGGAGTGATGTTATCTCATGCCTTGCTGGCAGTCGAAGTGTGAGGGTTCAATTTCTGAGACATAGAATTGGATTTCTTATAGGCATAGTGTATAAGCAGCTCTTGTTCCCTGATCTGTTGGGGCACATTCCGCGATTTACTTCCCTCACAAAGTTCTAAGAGTGGGGCAGTGGGCCTTTAAAGTTGAGGTTCAACTTTATTTTTTATTTTTTTTATTTTTAGGATAAATATGACACAAAAACCCGCTTCTCGGTCCCTACGCTTCCTCCCTTGTATTTGAGTCGCACGCACTTTCCAACACCAAATTTATAATCACGTATTACCACGCCCAACAAATCGCGTATAAACTCACCAAGATATTTACGTTGTCAAGGACACAAAATGGGGCCTTTAAAGTTGAGGTTCAACTTTATTTTTTATTTTTTTTATTTTTAGGATAAATATGACACAAAAACCCGCTTCTCGGTCCCTACGCTTCCTCCCTTGTATTTGAGTCGCACGCACTTTCCAACACCAAATTTATAATCACGTATTACCACGCCCAACAAATCGCGTATAAACTCACCAAGATATTTACGTTGTCAAGGACACAAAATAATCAGCTCAACTTTTACATTTCTTTACCTTTTCTTAGTTTTCTATAGCCTTCTTCTCCTCTTCTGTGTTGCTTTTCATCTCACCGATCCAATAAAATTAAATAAAGAAAAATGAAGATTTTTGTGAAGACTCTCAAGGGTACCCATTTCGAAATTGAAGTGAAACCTGAAGACACGGTTTGATTTTTTATTTTTTTCCTGATATGAATTTGTGTTGATTCGTAATTATGGTGATTCTTTTTATGTTAATGATGAGATTTTCTTAATATTTCTTCAATGATTATTTATTGGTTTTCTTGAATTTTGGTTTTTGTATGTCTGATGTTGGTGGGTAGTTTTGTTTACATGTTATTAAATGGAATTTGGACTTCAAAAATTTAGTGTAGTTACTGAGGTGATGAATTTTATTGTTTCGGGGGGTTTGCTGTGCATCTCAGTGCTACAAATAACTATCTGAGTAATTCTACTAATTAGTACGAATTAAGGTTCAGTGAACAAAGCTAGCATTATAGTTTCGGTTACTTAATCATTAATGTGAATTCGATTGGATTATACAATTTAGTTCATGCATGCTCTGGTGTTGAATGTCATAGACAAAATATAAAGTTGATGAAAGGCGCCTAAGTAGCCTACTTGGTTTGGTGCTGCACCAGTCTTGTGTTAGGAGAATGGCTCCTAAGGGATGGGTAATCTGAGTGCTGGCGAGGCAATCCACTGATTCTTAGCTTGTGTTGTGCTAGATGTCTTTAGGTTGCATTTTTTATCAATGGTAGATGAAGATGGTTGAGGCTGGCCACTGTATTTGATGACAGTAAAAGATGCATGTGGTTGCAGTTGAAGAGGATAATTTGGGTAATGTGTAAGGACACGATTAGGTGGGGTGGAGGTGGAAGGAGACATGGTTAATAATTGGTGACGATGGCAATGAAAATGCAAAAGGTAAAAGTAAGAAGATGGAAATGGTAGTAAAAGAAGGAGCAACAGCAACCAATATTTTTCTTGTAGATTAGGGTTTTCTAGATGCATAGCTTCTATTTCTTTTCTTTATTTTTGTGCAGTTCAATACAAAACCTAAATGCTTGCTTGACCAAGACTCAAATCAAAGTAAACTCATTAGGATGTATGCAGAGTATCATTTGAATGATCAGATATAGTTATTAATTTTTTGAATGCGGAATATAATTTATATTTCTGTTATCTTTACCAGATAATATGATATCCTTGCAGACACAAATAGTTTTTATTTTGGTGCCTTTGAGCTCCTAATCTTGCTCTTGCCTTTCTAACTTAGAACTTGTCACTTTGCATATCATGTTCAGTTGTCTAGCTGCTGTTTTTATTAAGCAATGGCTCAATGAAAGATGGATCAAATCTTGAGAACTACTTTCTTGAGTTTATTATTTTATAAAAGAAATTGCTTAGTTGTCCTATGGCAGAAAAATCTACTTTTTGTTCAAAGTTATGTTTTGTATATGACAAATGCTTGTCGGAATGCTTGTATGTTTCAAGACGAGGTTAAAATTGATGCCCATAACATGTAGTTGGGGAATGTAAAGTGTAAAGTTAGCTGAAGCTAGTTGTAGCACCGGTAGACTTGTCAAATGATGCATCAAAAGAAGATAAGAGGACATGATTCTCTTGCATGGCATGCATGTTTGGGGCATGTGGTACACATATAGGAAAGTCTATTTAAAGGAATCTCCTTCTGTAGTTCATGGAATGGTGCTCGTTTTGAATTTAGGAGATGGACTAATTAGGAATATTTATTCTCTGGAGGAATGCATTTTTATGTAAAAAATGTAAGGAACATTTGAAGTATTATAATATTTTGATTGTGGTCAGTATTTCCTTGTTTCTGAATTGGCTGCAAATTGTTTCTATAATTCTTTTGTTGTCCTCAAACAGTTACTCTCTTTTTTTCTTTTTTCCCACTCAAATTATGGGTTAATTTGTTGAAATAATTAGTTTTATTCTGCAGGTCATTGATGTGAAAAAAACCATCGAAAGTTCTCAGGGATCTGATATTTATCCTGCTGCACAACTGATGCTTATCCATCAGGGAAAAGTTCTGAAAGATGGAACAACACTGGGAGAAAATAATGTTGCTGAGAACAGTTTTGTTGTTGTCATGCCAACAAAAGTAAAAATTGTTCTGTTGCTAGTTACTGAATGTTCTAGAGGACCTACTATATTTGCCATTCAAAGTATTGACTTGCATCTAGATTTGTTTCCATAGGCTTGAATTTCTGTCTACATGTTTTACAAGTCTCTGTTGGACTTGGCCCTATATATTTTAGCCTGAACATATTTTAGCAGCAATATTTGTTTTCAGAAATAACTCCTCAATAGATTCTTTGACTTATACCATTAAAGACACATACTTTAGCATAAATTAAAGGCCCGTGCTTCATTGAAGTTGGTGCATATTATATCTGAATCGAGAAGTCTATTCAATGCGAAATTTGTTCAATTAAATTACAGCATTTTGTAAATGGTTTCAGCTATAATATCTCATGTTTACCACTGTTTGATCAAAATAGGCATTGAAATGATTTCAGATTTATAATTTAATTTCAGCAATTAATACTATTTTAGCATGAAAATATCTATCGCCAAGAAAAAATAAAATATAATAAAATAAAATTATCGATTCAGATGAAAAGATCTCAAAAAGCATAAAAACTTAAATACAAAATTTTCTGTTCTCGTTGCTTTTGGTGCTTTTTTGTGCTCCATTGTAGAGTGTTTACTGTTTTTTCATAATTTCGTTAATCTTTTTGCCTGAAATGTTCTAGAGTAAGAGCTCATCAGGTGAAGGTTCAACCACATCAACTGCACCTGCTGTGAAGGTAATATCATGTCATATTTAATAATTTCTTGTTATTTGTTCACAGTCTTTTATTGCTGTTTTATAAATTGGATTACCATTCTTGTGATATACCATCCTGTGATCTGATAGAATATTGTTTCTTGGTGCATTTGACATCTTAGTGGATCTAAGTGGCACTTATATCTCTAGAGTGCAGAAGGTTCTAGCATCCATTTCCCTAACATATTCTGTAGCTTCCAGCAAAAATGTCTTGAAATATTCAGAACCATATGTGTATTAATTTCTGTATTGAGGGACAGCAATTAAATTTGTAGCTGTTTTCTTCAAAGTTTGGTAGTTGTGTGAAGACTTTCTTCCTGAGAATGCCATTTAAAGTATATATTCATTTCCCAGCAGTGGCGCAAAACATTCTTATGAGCTTTACAATTTTTTATTATGGTATATGCATGCTCCAGCACATCTGTAAAAGTGTGCAACAACGGACAGTTCACCATCATATTTCTATAGAAAGTCTATTAGATTAATTTTTTACCATGGAAATACAATTACTACTGTTCATTGTCTGTAATTACTTTATTGGCTGAGTGTGGCATCTAAATTTCCATAGGTAATTGGTGTATTTAATGCAGACAGGTGTAATGGCAGTAAGTGAAACTAATGCTAGAGTTTGCCTTTTGTAGAGTTAATGCTCTTTGCTGATTTTTGCCCAAGATTGTTCAAAAAAATTGATAATCTCATCTCAGAGAGTTATTGGTTGATGCTTATTCAATCACTGATGATATCCCTCATTAGTCGACAATGAGAATTTTATTCTACAAGACTAAACACGTTTTATTTTACCCTCTTAAAAGAGAAATATCTAAGAGAATTTAATTTTTTATACCTAATCACGTTACAGGAATTGGTGTTAATTCAGGTGTGTCTGAAAGTGTTTTCCTTGTAGGTACAACCAAAAAGTGCTGCACCTCCTACTTCAGCTCCAACATCAACAGCACCTCAAGCTCCTGCTGCGGCGTGAGTTTTAGTTTACATATCTTAATAATGTGCACTCGGGTGTCTAAATACACTAAGCTCTGTCCCTTTTAACTCTTTGTCGGTGTATGGAATAATTGTTTATTTAATTTATTTCCCCACATTATTTTTCAACCTTTCAGACCTGCACCTGTACCCGCTCCTGCATCCTCTCCTATTCCTGTGCCTGCTGCTGGTGGCGTGTGAGCATCCCCTAAAAGAGATTTGATGTGCCTGATTTTCTATCATGCAATGATCATAAGTAGTTTGGTGATTCTTTTATCAATATTTTATGGTTCTCGTGTGATAGGTCGGATGTCTATGGCCATGCAGCTTCCAATTTAGTTGCTGGTAACAACCTTGAGGGTACGATCCAGCAGATTCTTGATATGGGTGGAGGAACTTGGGATCGAGATACAGTTGTCCGAGCTCTTCGAGCTGCTTTCAACAACCCGGAGAGAGCTGTTGAATATTTATATTCAGTGAGTGTCAACTTTCTATATATAAGTTAATTTCCTTTATTCCTTTGGAAACTTTTATGTATTCGGCACTTAGATCTTCTATAATTGTTTTGATGTTCTCAAGAATTTCACTAGCAAGTGGGTTACACAACTGAACTCAGCATTCGAATGACAGCATTACACTATTTGAGAAGTAAATCTTCATATTTTGTGAAAGAGGTGGATGCAGAAATATCTGTAATGTCATAGGGTAGTAGCGAATGAAGGTCAACATGGGATAAAATTATTAATTTGAGAATAATTGCTCTTAGAATTTCTGATTTATTTTGTAGTTCAGAATTGATGAATCACATATTATGTAACGGTTGTTAGAAAGAAATAATATAATAAATTATCATAAGTTGCATAAATTTCAATTTTACTTACAAGTTGAAAATGATGAATCAATGATTGTTTTCAACTTTATAAAATGGGTCAGGTGAAAATTAAATGGACTGTGAGATAGTCAAGTTACTCTTACAGGCATTTATAACTAGTTTATTTCATAGTTTATATGCAGTAAACAGCTTATGTTGGGAGAAAGTTTGTGATGTTTGATGTAATCACTTAGATGCCAAAAGTTCTGCCCAAAGTTCAATGAATGGTCAATTACAGTAACATAATTTAACATGCTGTTACATTTTTTGAACTTTTTCTTTTTAATTCTTTTCCATGTTATGAGTAGGGTCCTTAACATTTTCTTTTGGATAGTAGTCTGTTCTCTACACTAGATATCTTAAAGGTGGAGACAGGAACCTCTGATGCATCGTTTTGTGTGTGGTTCTTATGGTTGATAAAAAAAAGTTATGGAGGCAGAGTGGGATACCACATCTAGTCATCAATATTTATCATTTACCAGAGCTTAGTTATTACAGCATAGGGTGATAGAGGGGGAGAGTTTGGCCTAAATGCCTTTTTTGCATGTGTACGACCGAGTACATTAGCTTGAAAAGTGGTTAAAATAACGTCATTCACTGGAATTTGATGTGAAAACTTTTATTAATGACTTAGGATAAGTTCTTCCAATCCGAAATCCCCCCCCCCCCCCCCCCCCCCCCACAAAAAAAAAAAAA